ATTAGAGGGTTGGGATTTTCAGCCCCATTCCCAATCACTGGGGAGAAAAGAGGGGCTGACGATTGAGTTGATCGCCAATGGCGAATGGTTTAATTGTGACTATGTAATAAAGCCTCTATAAAAACCCACAAGAAATAGAATTTAGAGAGCTTTCAGATAGCTGAACACATGGAGACTCTTGGAGGGTGATGTACCCCTTCTCATACCTCATCCTATCTCTTCATCTGCATCCTTTGTAATATCCTTTGTAATAAACTGATAAACATAAGTGTTTCTCTGGATTCTGTGAGCCTTTCTAGCAAATTAATTAAACCTAAGGAGGGTGTTGTGGGAACCACAGTTTACAGCCTGTTGGTCAGAAGCACAAGTGAAAAAACCTGGGGCTTGAGATTGGCATCTAAGTGGGAGGGGGCAGTCTTGGAGACTGTGCCCTCAACCCTTGGTATCTGACAATATCTCCAAGTGGGTTGTGTCAGAATTGAATTGAATAAGAGGACAGTTAGTGTCAGCTGCAGAATCCATTGCTTGTGTAAAACAAAATAAAATTTTAATTCCCCCAAACAACTGAACGGATCTTCTCTGGGCCAAGGGAAACCTGAAAAACTAAATTCCAGGCCATGACAGGAAAGGTCAGACATTCCTCCTTATATTCCTTCCTTTGTGGAGTTTTAGGTACAACTGACCAGCATTAACATTAAAATAGACTGACAAAACAGACTCTCTGGAAATAAGACACCAAGTTTCAACCTGACTCTGGTATTGCATCACATGATGGATAGAAGGCAATACAAATATTTTACCTCAAAATGTTTCTTTGACATATTTTGAAGCGACCCCGGAAAGCCATCTCTTAAGGAAATTTGTATCTATAAATAATACCTTTTAAAACATATATTGCCTATCCTCTCTAAAGCGTGATACTTGGAGGCTTTGGAAGTTTGGCTGCTACAACCTCTCCTTACTTTAACTCAAGCATTTCTTTAACAGATTTCAACTTCACAGATTCAATTCAATTCTGACACAACCCACCTGGAGATATTGTCAGATTCCAAGGTGAAAGGACATAACATGGAGTCAATATAGCTAAAGAACTGTCATTTTAACATTTTTTATATCTGTCATATTTCTCTAGCAATTTACCCTCTAATCCACTAGCCTAGGATAGAACTGGTTTCTCAGAGGTAGCTATGATAATTGCCTTAAAACCCCATCTCCAGCTTGTTTTGTAAACAAGTTAAACTAATCAGCTCTTCATGACCTTCATGACACAGACCCCATCAACATAAAAACTGTCACGGGACTAACCCACTTATCTGCCTGCTGTCTATCACTTGACAGTCAGTACCTGTGTGTATCTGTCCTTCATGATGACATGGAGCAGACCACCACCCAATCATCTTTTTTTTTTTTTTTTGAGTTGGAGTCTCACTCTGTCACCCAGATTGGAGTGCAGTGGCGCGCTCCGGCCACTGCAGCCTTGACCTGCTGGGCTCTGGCGATCCTTTCGCCTCAGCCTTCCAAGTAGCCGGAACTACAGGCGCGCGCTACCACGCCTGGCTAATTTTTGATTTATTGTAGAGATGAAGTCTTGCCAAGATGCCCAGGTGGGTCTCGAACCCGCGGACTCAGGCAATCCACTCACCTCAGCCTCCCAAAGTGCTGGGATTACAGGCTGAGCCACCGAGCCCGGCTCCAATCATCTTAATGACCTGCCCCCATCAAGGAGAATGTTTAAAAGCATTCCACCTGGAACAGCCAGCTGCCATTACCTTACTAAGCCATGGTCTGCTTGAGCCACAGTCACCTGTTTCTTAGCCTTGGCACCCCCCCCCCTTCCTTGGGGAGGTGAATCTCCTCTCTCTCTAATTTAGTTTTTAAATAAACTGTATTTTCCAATCTAACTTCTGTGTCATACTTTGCATCTTTCACACGGTACCAGGTCCCACACCAGACACCCATACCCCCAGTGGGCCTGACCTAACATTCTGGAGGCCTTACTGAGATTGTGACCTAACACAAGGGTTGAGGGCACTGTTTCCAAGACTGCCCTCTCCCACTGAGATGCCAGTCTCAAGCCCCAGCTCTTTTACCTGTGCTTCTGACAAACTGGCTATAAACTGGGGTTTCTACAACTCCCTTCTTGAGTTTGATTCTTAAGTTTTTCTCCCAATTGTCAATCAGAAAATCTTTGAATTTACAAACTCCCTCCTTGGGTTTGATCTTTAAATCCTTCTACTAATTGCTAATCAGAAAATCTTTGAATCCACCTATGACTTGTATACTCACCCCTTTGAGATCTGCTTTTCTGGGCCCAATTAATATAGAATCCACCTGGTACTGATTTCTATTTTGCCTATAACTTCTGTCTCCCCAAAATGTAGAAAACCAAGCTGTAATTCAACCACTTTGAGCACATGTTCTTAGGACCTCTTGGGACCATGCCATGGGCCTGGGTCACTCACTTTTGGCTCAGAATAAACCTCTTTAGATATTTTACAGAGTTTGGCCTTTTTGTCCACATTTGCTTGTTGGTGGGAAAATGCTACACACATTTGATCATAGAAGTATTTTGTGTTGATTGTTGTTGAGTAACAGAATAGAGAAAACACTTTGAGTTTCTTTGATGTCTTTTGTGTTGATTGTTATTGAGTGATAAAATAGAGAAAACACTTTGAGTTTCTTTTTCAAACTCATAATATCCTTAATTTCTCTCTCCTTTCCATTTCCCATGCCATGAACCAGGCCAACCAGAAGCAGTTGTGTATGTTAAAGGGAACACAAAAAGCAGAGGCAAAGGGATAACGTGAGGGAGTGCAATGGATTCCAAATGCAAGGCTACATTTTGGACAAAACAGAGCCATTTGAAAAGCAGGGATTAGGGAACCCTATGAAGACATACTCAGAAAGTACAGGATAAAAACAGTGGACCTGTGATCCTAAACCCCGAGAAAAGTAGAAGAGCTAATGGTAGGGAAAGGGTCTATGTATAGGTGGGGTCAGTGAGCAGAGCTTGCAACCATGCCCTGAACTGGCCCTAATTTGTTGTGTGGCCTTGGGCAGGAGACATTATTTCTCTGCATCTCAGTTTTCTTATGTAAAACATTGAAAGGGAAAGAAAACAAGTCAATATATAATGGTTTTCCAACTCTGATTTCCTGTGGATCCAAATCTAGCTTCCCAGAGTTTTCTATATCATCTGTATAAACATAAGTGCCCTCAATTCATAAGGCTATGAAAGCTGAGAGAAGTTGTGTAGAACAGAAGATCCTGAAAGGGAGGAAAAGAAGGAAGGTGCTTTTGGCTCCCAAACAGGGAACATTAAGGCCTCGAAAGCCCAAGGAAACTTAGGCTGATCCTGTCTCAGACACAGAAGTTGTGGTGGCTTCCAAAGACATAAATGTCCTGCTTGTCCTAGCTCCCTCATTTGAATGCAAACCCCAAGGGGACAAAGCTTGTGTTGCAGAATCTCAGACTCTTTGATTTAGAAGTATCTTTAAAGGTCTTCTAGTCCCAATCCCTAACACCCCAAGAACGGAAACTTTCTCTTTATGCTACCTTCTGAAAGATGGCTCCCACACCTGCTTGTATACTTGCCCATTCAGATAATTTACATAGTGAATGGGAGAGTCAAATATTCCCTTGATTTAGTTGGTCTCCTGCCCCAGGACCCAGACAATCTTGCTAGACCAAATTGCTAGGTCAGGTCAGGGTCAGGGCTTTTTTTTTTCTTTTCTTTTCTTTTTTTTAATCAGTCTTTTTTTTTGAGTTGGAATCTCACTCTGTCACCCAGACTGGAGTGCAAGTGGCCGCTCCCGGCCAACGCAGCCTCGACCTGCTGAGCTCCAGCGATACTTCCGCCTCAGCCTTCCAAGTAGCTGGAACTATAGGCACGCGCTACCACGCCCAGCTAGTTTTTTGATTTATGGTAGAGATGAGGTCTTGCTAAGTTGCCCAGGCGGGTCTCAAACCTGTGGGCTCAGGCAGTCCACTCACCTCAGCCTCCCAAAGGTGCGGGATTCCAGGCTGAGCCACCGAGCCCGGCTAACTCACTCTGTCACTGGAGTGCAATGGCATGCTCATGGCACTGCAGCCTCAATCTGCTGGGCTCAGGTGATCCTTCCGCCTCAGCCTTCCAAGGAGCTGGAACCACAGGCTAGTGCCACCACACCCTAATTTTTTGACTTTTCGTAGAGATGAGGTCTCTCTGTGTTCCTCAGGCTTGTCTCAAACCCCTGAGCTTAGGCAATTCTCTCACCTCAGCCTCGCAAAGTGCTGAGATTACAGGCTTGAGCCACTGCATCCGGCCAGGATCAGGGTTTTAAGAGGGTTTCTTTGACACTGGCTCCAATGTGCCAGCCAGGGCCCTGAAATGTCATTCTCAGCTTCCTTTCAGGGAGTGAGCTGGGGGGAGACATTGTAAGTTTTGGAGTCAAACAGACCCAGATTCGAGTCTCACCTTTACTACTCACTAACTGGGTAGATTTTGGCAAGATACCTCAGCTCTCTGTGCAGCTCACATTAAAAAATACCAGGAATAATCCTCCCTCAGGGGACTGCAGTGAGGATTCATTAGGTTCATGTTATGAGTGTTGAACGCATACCCCCCAGAATGTGAGCATTTGTGGGAGTAGAAACTGTTTCTTAGTCACAGGCTACTCCTTTATCCCAGTGTCCAAAATAGTGCTTTGCCTATTATAAAGATGAGAGAGGAAAAATAAAAGCTAACTTTTATGTGACCCCAAAATTTACAAGAGTTCTATACTCAGACGTCTCTTTCAGCAAGGCCTGTTAACTAACAAAATTCTGCTTTCTCTGTTTTTGGAACAAAGGCTTGTATCCAAACAATCTACAATGAAAGTTAAAAATCAGCTCATGCCCAAACACAGAAACTGAAACTGAACTGAAACACAGAAACTGAAACTGTGTTTTCTTCTTCCTGGGAATCGAGCAAAACTGAAAGTAATTCACTGAACACAGACTCTGAGCCTCAAAGGAGGAGAATGGTTTTAAATATTGGGATGTGGGAGCAGACATTTCAAGAACTGATCCAAGAGGAGAAACCCTGGGTCCATTGGACCCTGAAGTTGGATGGGAAGCTTCAGCTAGATTACCTGGCGAAGGGGTGGAAGCAGTACCAACAGAGAGCATTTGGCTGGTGAGTACGGGTTTCTCCAGGAATAGGCCTGCTGAGTTGAGAGGATCCGGTCAGCAGTATTTATCCTTTGAGAGTGTATTAAAGGAACAAATGCCTGCAGGCTTTCCATCCTTTTGTGTTCTGTAGGTTCTAACTGATAAGATGCCAAGCCTCCATCTTGTTTAACTGCAGAAAGTTTCTTCTCTTACTAGGTTTCCCTTCCTAAATATTTCTGGAAAACATGGACTGCCTCTATATTCCATAAATCTGCCCTTCTTTTCTCTCACCACCTTATCAGTTCCAGACTATCGCTAGAGTTTCTTGTAGTTTCCATCAGTCCTAACTGGCATTCCCAGGCTGCAACAGCTCTCCAAGCCCTGGCCCTGTTCAGCACAAGCCTGGGAACTAGGTCTTTCCCTTAATGCCCTAAGGATTGTCTAAGATCAAGCAGTCACTTTGAACATTGCTTTACTGGATATAATAGGAAAGAATGATGCTGCAAAAACTAAATCTAAAATCTAGTTTCTGGAGTTCTGGAGTTCCTAAGTAATACCTCTCCCTTTATTGACCATCTCTCTCTTTAACAAGCTTTCAGGTTTCAGGAACCAGCTTCCTTGCCTGTGTTAGGAAGATGAGAATTGCTGACCTGGACAATCAAGTCCTCTCTTTTTATATGGCACACAAGACTTCAGTCTCCTTTTCACTTAACCTGTTACCCTGCCTACCTGTCCCATTTTGCCTCAAGTATGCCATTCTCCATTCTTTAGGGACTATTAGCCATATCATGAATTTTCAGACATCCACACCCTTGTTCATGGTGTTCTTCCTGTTTGGCAGGCCCTTTCCTCATCTCCTTCCTACTCTTTTTTCAAGACCCATTCAAGTGCCTCTTCCTCCAAAAAGCATGTCCTAGTCCTCCTAGGCAGGGTCAGTGTTCTTCTACATTCACATAAGATAAAGGGATAAGATATATGTTATGCATATAATATATAATCATATAGAAATATGTACTATATATTTTAACTAATACTGTTATAAGTAATATATATTTATCTGTTACATATTATATCAAATACAAGATATATTTATTTTTAGCTGTGGAATCCATTGTTTAAGCAAAGCCTCCTAAGGCTCTGCAGAACAGGTTTCAAACCACTTGCCAGGGCCCACAGAGCAGTCATGTTGTTCTGCTTTGTAATGTAGCGAATGGTGTGTTTCTCTCTACATCAACCAGAGCTCTTTGAGGGACTCATGATGTCTTTCCTCATTTTGGCACTCTCCCAAACAGGAAGGTGTTTCTCCTCTTTGGATGAGTTGATTTGACAGTCATTTTGAGATGGGACCTGTCAGCGTACTTTTAGAAAATATCAATCAGCTTCTGAAAAGCATTTTGTAATTTATAAAGTGTTTTCACATATATTGTCTTATTTGATGCTGAGAAACAATTTTTTTATGAATGTAAAAATTGAGGCGCAGAGAAGGGAAGGACTTTATCCAAGGCCCCCTCAATCCATGTGTTAGGGCTCCAGGTCCTAGTCTGCTTCTCTATGTGCAAGACTAGTCATGTTGCTTATTAGAGGTGATGTGTTTGTTGCAGTTGGTAGACAAACATGGTTAAATTCAAATGGCCTAGTGTCAGACACATGCTTCTACCACTTGCCCTGTGTGTTCTTGAGCAGGCTGTGTACCATATTAAAGACTCAGTTTTTAATCTGGGTATTTGGCTCAATAATGCCTGTTTCCTAGAAATGCTTTAAAGATGAATTGAGATAACATTGTAAAGCACCAATTACAGTGCTTGCCTCCAAATGGGCACCTTATCAAAGTGTTCTGTGACCAAAATGAGGGATAAATTTCTCTGGCAGATGGCAGGAGTTATTCTCCCTTGGAGGCATCCAGAGGTGTTTTACTAGCAAAGAGGAAGACTTAGGGATAACATGTGGCTTGGAGCACCACAGGTCATGCAAGAAGCTTTATCCAGCTGGGCTCGGTGGCTCAGCCTGTAATCCCGTGCCTTTGGGAGGCTGAGGTGAGTGGATTGCCTGAGCCTGCGGGTTTGAGACTCACCTGGGCAGCGAGACCTCATCTCTACAATAAATCAAAAAATCAGCCGGGCGTGGTAGCGCGTGCCTGTAATTCCGGCTACTCGGAAGGCTGAGGCGGAAGGATCGCCGGAGCCCAGCAGGTCGAGGCTGCGGTGGCCGGGAGCGGCCACTGCACTCCAGTCTGGGTGACAGAGTGAGACTCCAACTCAAAAAAAAAGAAGCTTTATCCAAAATATAACCCTTCTTGTTCCTGTTTGTCAATGACTGGGACATTCCAAATCACATGAACTTGTTCAAGTTTAAAGGGATCTTAGAGGCTGAGACCAAGATCATTTTCCCTAATGTTAATAATTAGTTGAGAATATAATGGACATCTTCCTTCTGATTGCAGGTTCCGGTGTTCCTCGTGCCAGCGAAGTTGGGCTTCTGCCCAAGTGCAGATTCTGTGCCACATGTATTGCGAGCACTGTATGTCCCAGGGCCAGGTGCGTATGCGGCTGTTTGCTCAGAGGTGCCAGAAGTGTTCTCGGTCCCAATATGAGATGCCTGAATTCTTCCCGGATAGCACAATGAGGATTCTGAACAATCTTGTACAGCATATTCTGAAGACATACCATGGAGGTAGCAGGAGGAAGTTTAAGGAGATGCCAGTGCTCCTGGAGGTGCCCTTGGAAGGGTCCCATGACATGGCCAATTGTGAAGCATGCGCTCTGGGCTACTGCATGCAGGCATTAGAAAGCTGTGTGACAAAACCATCCAAATCTCCACTCTTTTACTTGAAGATTGGGAGATCCTCGCCTCAAATTGGTGATGTGCTGTACGTCCAAAACCAAGCCAGGAACCAGTTATCTGAGGCAAAGCAGGCTAAGTGGGATGGGTCTGAGGGGTCAGGGACCTGCTGTTGCCAGGATCCGTTGATCTGTGTATTTATTTTGCTGTTTCTTTTTTTTATTATAGTCAAATGCTTTTCATTAGAATGATGAAAATAAGTTTGCCGTCTTCCCTTGTCATTACGTTTCATGGTAATCAATGTATTGGCTGTAATTTTAATATGACATAGAATTTACTTTGAGACCAAGTGTGTCTCAAGTTTGTTGAATAAGCACCGGTCTCTTAGATATCCTCTGAAAATAGTCTAAAACATGACCAAGCACATAATGGACCAAATAATAAATATTTGTTGAATCGCTAAAAGGTCTTCACTTGCTCATTCATTGGTATCAATATAAATATATATAAAGAGAAATCAGAAAGTGGGGTTGGTTAAATAATGGTTGCCCCACATAATGTGCATGTCCTAATCCGAAGAACCTATGAGTATGTTACTTTACATGTAAAAATAGACTTTGCAGGTGTGATTAGTTTAAGGATCTTGAAATGGGTAAATTATCTTGTGTTATCCAGGTGGAAGATAATAAGAGGAAGGCAACAGGGTCAAAGTCAGAAAAAGGAGATTTGATGATGAAACCAAAGGTTGCAGTAATGTGCTTTGAAACTGAAGGAAGGAGTTACAAGCCAAGGATTATAGTAAGCTTTTAGAAACCCAAAAGGGAATGAATTTTCTCCTGGAGGAAGGACTATCCCTGCTCCATACATGGCTTTAGCTCAGCAACTCTGATTTTGGACTTTGGACCTCCAGAACTATACGATGGTAAATTTGTCTTGTTTTAAGGCTCTAGATCTGTGGTAATTTGTTCCAGCAACAATAGGAAGCTACTATAATTATTAATATTTCAGTAGAAATCAGGCAGTTATATTTTAGGTATACTTCAATTTTGACAGAAAAAAAGCACTTTACACATTAAAAATATAGATCCTCTCTATCCCGTCTTGTTCTTCCTTCTCTTCTACTTAAACTCACTCAAATGTCCCCAATCCAAAGAGATTCCCTCTGATTTGGTGATCCCAGGAGCTATCATATTCTCTCACTTCTTTCAGCACTGGATTGGGAAGCACAGAACTTTCCAATCTTGTGATACAAGGCTACATCCCTGTTTCCATCTGCCTGTTAGGTAGTTCTGTGTATTCATGCTGCCTTCTCTATATTATCGTGTTTAAAACTAGCTCAACAGCATCTCTGACTTTCCTGTTTTAATTGCCCCTGGCCACCCAAGCTTATCACCTTGGAGGAGTCATCTTTAACTTCTACCTGTTTTTGAAGGTGCTTCCATCTCTTCCTTCTACTTTTTCATCCCCCCTCCCCACCTAGTTTAAGATTATTGAATAACCTGGAGATTTGTATTTTATCCCATAGGCAATGGGAAATCACTGCAAACATTTGAAAATATTGGTAATTTGAGTTTTAAAATTTTTAAAATGCTATACATTTCTGGGAAATAATGGAGTATAGAATAACAATAGTAAAGAGTCTGGCTTTCAATAGGATAGTAGTAAACACAGAAAGGGGCTTCTGTAGATAGTAAGCATCTTGAATGAATTTGAAGGCAGTGAAGTTTATGAGACCAGAAAACCGAAAGATAAAATAATTCCTTTTTTTCCTGGCCGTCTCTTTTATTTTCTCATGGGCCACTCCCACCAGCACTCTCTCTTTATACCTATATCCCTCCCCAAACCACTCTACTGAATTTCTACACTCTTCTTTTCATAACCTCTTGGTTCTTTTATAAGGAACATTGGCCTGGGGAACCCACTTGAAGACTTTATTTATAGCCTAGTTAGGCTGTATGACCTAAGGCAAGTCTTTATCCTTCCCTAGGCTCTAATTTCTCCATCTATAAACTAGGTAGAGGTAAAACATAGAGAATTAATCACATGTATTTACCTCCGATTTCTTTTGAAACCACACTGAGCAACAGCAAAAGGGAAATAGAAGCATTAATATGCAAGGGCAAGGAGAATGGTTAGAAGCTAGAATGCTGGTAACCGGCTTAGCAGAGTAGCATGATCTAGAATGTAAGTTAAGTATGGGAAAACCAAGATGTAAGGCAACTTCAGAAAAGCTTGAAACTGTAGGCTGAAGTAGCTCTGAAGGTACACACTGGGAAGGCTTTTGTAGGAGGATTGACTCAAAGACTTAGTAACAAGTTTCTTCCCCCTTCTCCTAGGTAGCCTGGTAATGGTTCTTCACCCAACCCAGGGAAAAGACAGAGGTTTCCTCTCTAAAGACATTTACTCATAGGGACTCTGGGCTCAGGGAATTTATAAGGAAGGAGGGGCCACTGATTAATCAGAGACAAGACTGTGAAAGTCTATTCACTGAATAACAAGAGTCCCTTAGCTCATTCTCAAAACTTGGAGCCAGTCTTATAAGTTAGTGACCACCCCTCAACTACATAGATGAGTGGAGATTTCCTTTTTGGGAGAACTAGTCATCTCAAGAGAAAAAAAAAGTATATATACTGAAGGAGGTGGGGTTTCACAATGAACTATTCAACTCAGATAACCCCAGAGTAAACCCATCAAATGCCAATATCCCCACAGAGTTTCCAGTCAGCTTTTTAAGGTCTTATGTTTGTCCTTGGACAGATTGCCCAGGGATTATGAAATATTTGATAGAGTCTCCTAATGTAAAGGCAAAGAGAAAAAAAGTTAAAAAAAAAAAAGTAACTCAGAAGAAAGAGTTGACTCAAAAGTTAAAATATGCATATATATTTATAAAGAAAAGCTATTATTTCTACAGCAGAGAGATAATTAGATAAGGGAAGGTATAGTATTCACAAAACAAGAAATGGATATGATCCTCTGGAATAAACTCGGATGAGGCAGCTACTGTTGGCTGGAGACAGATCTTTGGGAGAGTTTTAGTTATAAGCCTTTAGCACACAATGCTTCCAAAAGTTTTGGAAATGAGTGTCTCAGTCCTGAAGGAGGTGATCTGGGTGGTGCACTACAGCCTTCACTACCATCCACATCTTGCACAGCTCAAATCTACTTACTTTTATAAAAAGTTAACTGTATCTTGAGAAAATCCTCCAGGATTCTTTATCCGTAGAAATGTACAAGAGGAAGGTTAGTAGATAAACTAAGACCCTACCACTGTATCTGGTCTTGGGACAGCAATTAGAGACTCATGATCTTCTTTTTCTAATATCTGTTTTTTATTTTTCTTACCCTAGCGTCCCTGCTGGTTGAGGTAGATTAACTGATAATGCTATCCAGATCCTTATCCCTGCGGAGTTTGATCCCTTAGTCACCAGGAACTTCTCAGTCTGTGGCTTCTTCCAATGTCCATCTACTGTCAAAACTGGACAAGGAAATCCCAAGAGATGACCTAATGAATCACTTGTGTGACAAACATATTTTTACCAGCTCCGTTGTGTAATAACAATCCTATTTCCCTCTGATGTTCAAGATGCTCTTTTTCTTGCCTGTTGTTCTGCTGGCAAAATACCTCTGAATGACCACCCATCACTAGTCAAGAGATATTTGCTGTGTTTCTTAGTGAAATCATTCACCATCTAGGATCTCTAGACCTGCAGGCCTTATGTTGTGGCAAAGTGAAGCACAGAAAATGACAACTGATTTCATGTGAGGTATGGTAGATAGGGACACCTCTACTTCCACCTCTTGATTTCCAGACCATAGGTTCTCCTACTGCAGCCACAGTATCATGACATGGTCTTTGATTCAGGGTGTATACCGCATTCTGGTGGATGGTGACTCATCTTTACAAAATAGTATCTCAAAGCTGCACCGAGGCTGCATCTTGAGAATCATTGATTTGCCATTGATCTATCTCCCTGGCAGCTTCTGGGTGATGCAGCTTTTAATAAAACCAGGAAATCCAATGGTCATATTATTGCTATTGCTGTAACTCTTTTGCTACAAATTTGGTCCCTTTGTCTAATGTGACATTATGTGGTGTATTCATTTGTTAGGGCTGGGAGAGTCAGTTTCATCACGTCTATCACCAGCCTGTGGTGGTTTGTTGTTAATCTTTGGAGTCTATTGGCTTTTGAAAGCATCACCCTGATATCTGTTTTTACTTTTACATGGTGTTCTCCCTGTGTGCATGTCTATGTACAAATTTCCCTTTTTTGTAAGGATACCAATAATATTGGACAAGGGGTCCACCCTACATCAGTATGATCTCATGTTAACTAATTACATCTTCAATGATCGTATTTTCAAATAAGGTCACATTCTGAGATACTAGAGGTTAGCACTTCAACATGTAAGTTTTGTTGGCAGGGGGCCACAATTCAGTCTGTAACATGTAGAATCCTAGGTTTGAGGATCAAATACTCCATAAGTCCTTGAAGAGTTGTACTGGTTGAAGTTCTGCAAGCAAGAAATGCAAGCCATGTCTGGAGTATGTGCTTATTTCAGTCAAGATAAATCATCACCCTCTCCATGATAGGAGTGATATAATGTAAATAATTTGCTATCAAGTAGCTGTTTTGTCTACTCAAGTGATGGTGCCATATTAAGGACTCATCTACTCTTGGCGAATTGGACATTCAGCAGCAAGATTATTATTATTATTTCTTTTTGATTTATTGTAGAGATGAGGTCTCGCCAAGTTGCCCAGATGGGTCTCGAACCTGTGGGCTCAGGCAATCCACTCACCTTGGCCTCCCAAGGTATGGGATTACAGGCTGAGCCACTGACCCTGGCTAGCAAGATTATTTATATCAATCTTAGTGAGTGGAAACTCATGTTGTTGGGCCTATGCATACCCTCCATACTCACTCACATGACTACTCCAATTATGCACCCAAAGTGCCAGTATTGGAATGGTTGATGACAGAGGCTACCATCCTCAACCGAGACATTTTGACTACTTGGTTGTTCAGTGCCTATCCATAATGGGTGTTTTTTGGTGGACATTAAAATAAGATATAGAGATCTTTACATTTTGTGCCCACCCTTAAAGATTCATTCACGTTTCTGTTCTTCAAACTTCACTGTCTCTAATCTTCTCAACTTTCTCCTCCCAGGCCTCCAACTAACAAACTAAGCCATGTACCACTGTACATGAATTCAACCACCAATATTTATGCTTACTGATACATTTAACTTTTCTTTTTTTTGGTTTTCATTTGACTTTTCAAATAAAGTGGGTGACCAGGTGCGCCAATCAAAGCTCTGTCCACTGAGAAGATTTCTTCTCTCCCCTACCTTTCAAGGCCACGCTCATTAGGGCTGTATTGCAGCCACTCTCTTTTTAGCTTTTGTCATATTTTGAACTAAACCATTGGTGAACTAAGATTGACCTTT